GACATTTGTTTATCTCTAAATCTAAGTATTAGGCGTAATTGTACGGATCCAACTGTATTTGAGACCCAATCTATTAAAATTAAAGAAGATTTTATAGAGAAAGGATATGAAGAGTTAAAATTAGAAATGGCCAGGAAAGAAGTAAGAATGATAGAAAGAGAGAAACTTTTGAAATATAAGGATAAAAGGGAAAATACATTTATGGAACTCCCTTTTATATGCAACTTCAGCACAGATAACAAAAAAGTAAGAAAAATAATCTCTAAGTTCTGGCCAATTTTATTACAAGATCCAGGTGTAAAACCTTTTCTTCCAGAAAGACCTAAATTTATACACAGAGGGGTTGACAATTTACGCCATTCTTTGACTTCAAGCTTTTTAAAGGAAAAGAAAAGTACGAATACTTTTTTAAATTCGGATAAGGGATTTTTTGGGTGTGTCCAATGCTTAGCGTGCAAAAGGTCAAATAGTAAAAAAAGACATATAAAGCTTTTTAAAGATAAAGATGGTAAAGAATATCAAATTAAAGATTTTCTGAGTTGCCACTCAAAAAACCTCATTTACTTAATGATCTGCCCTTGTGGTCTATGTTATATAGGGAAAACCACCAGATCCCTACATATCAGAATTGAAGAACATAGTCGTAATATTTTAAAAGGTTTTGAAAAACATAGCGTCTCTTTACACTACAAAATTGCACATAAATGCGACATGAAAGACACTACGTTTTTAGGAATTATAAAAGTCAAAAAGGATTGGAGGGGAGGCAACTTTGATAGCAAAATGAGTAAAATAGAGATGGAGTGGATCTTTAAACTAAATACTTTAATCCCGAATGGTCTAAATGCAGACTTCGATGTGCCATTTTTTAAAATAAATGCAAAATTATTTTATGGTTGCACTCATACCTCCCTTTATTGAATTATTACTTTTTTATTACTATGTGAGCATTGACTGAATTATGTTTCAACTTTTATAATATCTGGAATTAGACATTTATAAGGTGTTTTAATTGTATAACCACTGATTCATTTATTAATACCCATTATCTCTTAAGAATTCATCTTTTTAATAATGACATAAGATCACAATATGCCTGTAAAATGGTCATATTAATACACTTATACAAGAAATAGGAATAGAAGGAAAAAAACACTACAGAATGAAATTTAATTATTAAGGGTTTGGATGTACCAATATAAGGCTTGTATATGTTAGACAAAGAAAGCTTGCCAATTCCACAGATATGTTAAATTCATTTGAACTTATATTTCCCTTCAAAAAACCGCCGACCCGGAAATCCTGGGGAAATAAATGGTGAACCGCATGGTGGAACGCACAGTGAACCGCATGGTGGAACGCAAGGAAGTGACGTATCGGCGAAACCGGAAGTGACGCAACGGAACAGAAAACCCGGAAATGAATAGAAAAAAGGCTTGAAACGCAGGGCGTCACCGTTTCTATGGTGATTGCCCGCGAAAATACAAGCCTGGACACTAATTATCTCACCCCTGAGAGGGGTACATATAGCAGGGAGAATCCATGGGAAGTTTGAATCACCACATCCAGCTGAGGAAGCCTGTAGGGCGAAACGCGTACTGGAGAGACTGTGAGACTTTGGACTTTTGGATTTTATGCCAATTTGATATTGTTTTTTATTGTTTTTTATATATATATATATATATATTTTTTTATACAATTACCGTTATAATAAAATTATTTATCTTTTATACTATATATTGGCATTTCCCTGCTACTTTTTATTCATTTTTCACAAAGAAGGTGTGTAGTCCTCAACTACACAAGTGTGTGGATTAGAGCCGATCTGGATGGCTCTAATTTTGTGAGTATTACATTTTATATTTATCTCACATTGATAATTATTACGATACTGCACCATATACGGTTTCTACTTCTATAGGAAATCAAGGAGATCTATACACAAGAAGGGTGAGGGTCGCCTTTACGGACCCCAAGAGCGCAGATATTGAGCTATTTCATATTAGCTCCTAAAATTGTGAGTGGGAAATTTTCCCTTCCTAATTCTCTATAACGGACTTTATTATACAGTTTGCACTATGTTTGGTTTGTCTGTTTTTTATGTCTTGTAGAATTTATACTCTTATGTGAATATAAAGACATAAGGAATTTCAAGGTAGTATTGATATATACCTAGTTTTTATCACTACCCTTCTATTTAAATATAGCGCTACACCACAAAAGTTTTTTAAATGCCTACTCTGCTTTAGTAAGCATGGCAAACTCACGGCTTGCCGGGCCATGAAAATGTTCACTGAGTTTGACATGCTTGGTGTAAATTCATCCAAAAACAAATGCCCACATTTATTATTAGTAGAAATGTAGTATTCGTATAAAGATCTCGCAAGGCAATGGAGGAAGGATAGGCGTTGTGAGATGAGTATTGTGGGAGAATTTTCTGTGACAAAGGAAGTGGAGTTAGTTTAGCGACACCATTTTGTATCATTTGCAAAGCATACGAAAAATACATCCCTACTTTGTCATATGTTTTAAAGAGAAATAGATCAGAAATTAAGAGAATAAAAACAGGTTGGGATAGAGGAAGAGAAAAGGAAACAATAGGAGCAAGTTTTAGTGACATAACTTTAATCCTAATGTAAAACTCAAGATCACTAAAATTTCTACTTTGAAGGTCAATTTATGAGAAGGATTTGAGTCACAGCGCTAAGTATTTTAGATGGTACATAGTGAAGTATAGTGTGCATGCACATGATTTCATGTTTGAGACTATATATATAGTCCATTTATATTTTTTTAATGTTTATACACTTAATACACGTCTTCACCAACATCTGAGAATTATAGGTCAGAAATCAATATACTGGCTGTGGTAACAGATGCAAACATTTTACATATAAAAAAAAAAAACGAAACTAAAAAGCAAACCTTGCCTATGGTAAAGTCAAGGGTAAAATAATAGGTGCACATATATTCCAAAGTGTAGACTAGAAAACCATCTATAGTCATCTTGGTGCTAACAGCATACTAAGGCTTTAATAATAGCCTACATATGGTAGCACTACCCGGTCCTTTAACATGTCTCAAGCTGCCTTCTCCAGGGATGTCAGCCTTTGATGGCAGTGCCTCTGGTGCTGAATTTTCTGTTCTTGGTGAGGCCGTCAAGCCCAAAGCAGAAATTAGCACTCCTGCGTCAGTGGATGTAAAAGTGTTTCTCCACCACGAGGATCACAAGAAATCCCCGTCCCCCCAGTAGTATTTAGTCACATAGACTGCTGGCAAACAGAGCCAACTTTCTCTTTTCCATGAAAACAGAGAATGGAAGGTTGCAAAGTGTACTGCGCCCATGTCTTTGGAGTGATTTATTATGGTGGATCTTTCTGTAATAATAGCTATAGATGGTAATAGCTATTCTGTCCCTGGCTGCTCCCGTAGAAGCGGCATCAGGTTTGAGGACACAGAATGCTGATGTAATATATAGTAGTTCAGAGCTCCCTCTGAGGCCCATAGAAGTGATCAGTCTCTTCACACACGGGAGATATTCCTCCCCTCCCATTTCCTCTGATATTCCCCCATATGTGTATATTACGATGTTCGTGACAGGTCTCCAGTTGGCGATATGGCCTTTGACCTCCTATACCTAAGCCTTAGTCTCCTGGAGCTGGGTGTCTCTATAGAGGTTTCCCCTCCTCTACTGCCTGCATTCTATTTTGGACTTCACCAATCTCGGCCTCAATCCTCTGGAGGTTGGCTTTCCATTCCCACCTCAGCTCAATTAGGAACCTTTTGAGGGAGAGTTGTCATCATCAGACTCTGAGGAATGGTAAACAGCACCTGAATGAGTTGTGTCACAAGGCTCCTTTTCTCCATTAGATTCTTCAGAGAGCATTGAACGCCATTGGGGTATACCTTTCAAAGGGAAACTGGATGTAAAAATTTTGAATTTGTAATTCCACTGGTTACAGAGTTATGACTAGTAGAAATCTGTGGAAAAGCCTACTTTTTTATTTGTATTATTTGTTATATTATATCTGTTCATTTCTCAAAACACATAGGGTATGCATTTTTTGTGACAGTCTTAAACCTGAAATGTTCTACATGCACACTGTACTTACCTACGCATCTACAAAATAATTAGGACTGATGTCCACTGTGGTTAAACAAAGTAATAATAAAATATTGTGGTTTTGCAATAGCCATACACACAGACAAAAAAAGAATTAAGGAAAATGTAAAATGTTCAAACAATCTATGCTTGAACACTTGAGCTGGATTAACATACTATAAAACATGACAAAGTAGAAAATAAAGAAATAACAGTTGTGCAATAAACTCCACCATAAACAAGCACAGATCTCATGAGATCATAACCTATAGGTTTTGCAGTTTACGGTAACAAGACTATGCTTCAATGCTGAACAAGTGAATTTTACGTTCAAACTAAAAGTTTGTAGGGCATCATGAAAACTGTGCAACCGTTCTAAAATCCTCTTACGTATTCTGTAGTTAACAAGTATCCTTTAAAAATCAGTTAGTGCTGAATCAACACCATTCTACAATAATTGTGACACAGAATAACAGATTTTTAGTCTTTTATTACGTTTTCATGTGAATGTTAGAATTTTGTACATAATACCTAGTTTATACTTCGGAACAGATCTAACTCAACACATCAGATCATTAAAAACAAGCCAAATAAGTAGATTTCCAATTAGCATTCTTTCAGAATTTTGACAAGGCCGGCTAGAAGGTCAAATATGTCATTTGGTTTTTGGATTTGAATTTCAACTAGCAGATGCAATCTAAAGCAGGAGATAATCATTTGGTCTCATTTTCCAGTAACGTTACACAACATTTATTTACTTAAAAGCAACAATGCACTGAAGCTTTCCTTCTGCATCCTGAAGCATCAATTTAAATCTTAAACTATCATATTGTATAGTCTTTTGGGATGGAAATATATCTAGCAGCCTCTGCCTTGGTCACAATGCAGTTTTAAATATTTATCGGTATCCAGGTCCTGGTTGAGCATAACCCTGACCAAATGGGGCTCGATTACGTGCATATGGGTTAGGCCCACTTGGAGGTGGAGTTACAGTGCTGCCAGGAGGTGGGGTAAATCCTGGTCTATATGCCCCTGGTTGGCTTGGAGCCATGCCAGGCTGAGAAACTGGAGGGACATTGTAATTAGCGGGCTGAGAGGCTTGTGTAGTGTAAGTCTGTGGTGGGTAGGAACCCGCTTGGTATTGCTGAGCTGGCTGTGAGGGCAACTGTGGTTGCTGAGCTGGAAATTGAGGGGAAGGACCCTGTGCAGCTTGCTGATTGTAAGCTGGAAATTGCTGAGCTTGCTGAGGTCCAGTCTGCTGATTATAGCCTAAAGCACAAAAGAAAACACAGATTACTGATACAGCAATGTTGATTTTAATATTTTTAATAATGTACATTTTCACTTTAATGCTGGACAGCAAAGGCAGAGGAACTGGCAGACCACTTTTTTGAAAAATACTTCAGCCCCCATTAATAAGGCTATGGATTATGTATAATGTCAAGAGAGACAGCTAGTGGATAATGCAGTTGCATCAAACGTTGTCTTAAGGTGTCAGTTTCCTACACAGTTACAATGAACACATTTCAAAGAAAATGAATAGACACTTGTTTCTTACCAGGATACTGCATTCCATATTGTTGTTGGGGCTGACCCTGGCCTTGACCTTGAGGCGCTGGATACCCAGCTGGCTGCTGTGGGTACTGCTGATACATTTGGCCTAGAAACAAAAAATGCTTTCAAGTTACACATCAGAGGCTTTGTACCATAAATCTAAATGTTTTCATACTGTACAAAGGTAACCTGCTCCAACAAGCCAAACATATGACGCACTAATGCGTTTATGAGGACTGCTGCCAAATGTGATGGTCAAAGTAGACGTCAGGAGACAGGTTATGCAGCTAATCACTTTTATTTGGCTAATGGATGCCAGGATTCCATTTAGGAAATTTAGAATGCATCAATTTGTATTTTTTGGTTAGTAAACCTTGCGGTTCCCATCCTATACATCCCAAAATGGGAATAAATTAATAAAACATAATTTACTAATTTACTGATCCAGAAACGAGGCAAAGTTCTTCTGCAATCCAATCCGCCATGGCTTATATCACTATGTCAGGAAGGGCGGACTGAGGGGAAGACATGGCCGGAGGTACAGTTGCACCTTACACAGCAACAGTGGTTAAACTCAGACAGCGCATCATGACCCCTTCAAATAAATGAAGTGGTCATGGTGCTTGGAGTAACAACAGAAGTAGGCTCTGAAAATCAGAGAAAATCTAACAAAAAGGATACTTAAACAATATAAATAATTAAGAAATTAATACACTGATCCCTCACCCCATCATAGTTCTTAAGGGGTTACTCCAACCCTTTTTTGGGCTTAAAAATGTCCTATTGGAGAGAGCTAGTTTCAAAAATGGAAAAACTCATCACGTCTGTTGCCAGCGTGCCGTGCGCACTGAAGATGTAAAATATGCACAGAATTGAAATTTTTCCACAGTCCATAACAGCTGTTCCAGCTGCCAGATTTACATGTGCTGGGGATGTAATTAGCCCCCAGCACACTAGTGCAAATATCTTTGTATCTGGAAGCGTTTCAAGCAGAAACATTGCACAACCAGACTGTTACCACCATGACCACTTCATATCATTGAACTGGTAATCATGGTTGGAGTAACCCTTCAACTCTTACTCTTAACATGTCATCACTGAAGCCCAATCCAGAGTTCATAAAAACAAGACAAATATTTCATCTAAATAAAACAAACCAAAATGTCTGCCACAGACAGTATAGGAGGACAGTGTTCTAATTTTATAGTCAACTGTGATTGTACATGAAGCCCTATAGGAAAAGCATGCAACATTTCTAATTACAATAAAATGGACAGAGCATTAAATAAATGAAGTGAAGAATCAAAAAGGCAAGTCAAAAATGTTCAGAAAATATAGCACAGCAGGTAAACCTTATAATAAGGACATGTAAATGTGGTTTGAACGCAAGTAACGAGAGCCACAGATGCCAAGCAAGCGCTGAACAGGTGATGAAGCCAAATACACTTAGGAAGAGAGAGCACTATTTTCCACTTCTGAAATAGCCATTGAGAGTTTAAAAGATTGCAACCTCTTTTTCCCTCTATGGGTCACAATAAGCACACTTCCGCCACTTTGATATTAGTAGTAGGATAGCTAAAGGCACAAACATATAAGTTTACTCTTTTATAATAAGGCATAGCAATGTACAGCTGAAATCCTACAATAGTGTATAAGAAGCTACTTATTGATGTGGTAATGCACTGCATGTATGATCATATGGATAAATGTTATAGAGATGCGAATGAGCTCTGCTGTTATCACGCACATACATTCTTTTTATTACGAGTTAAAGGAACACTGGCCACTAAGATAACTTTAGCTCAATAAAGCTGTTTTGGTATATAGATCATGTGTCTGCAGCCTCAATACTCCATTTCCTGCCATGTTTATTCAGCGCTAGTCGAATCTCCATGCATATCATAGGAGTTGCACAGCCTTCCCGTAAAGTGAGATCTAATGTTTACACTGTTCAATCTAGAATTTCTTATCCCCTGCTCTGTTAATAGCTCCATAGACCCTGAAGAAGCCTCCTGTGTGTGATTAAAGTTCAATATACAGAGCAGGAGATAAAAACTTCTAAAGCAGATTAACATCTGATTGAAAAAGAAAAAATTTTCTGCAGGCTGGGTGAGTCACAGACAGGGGAGGTGTGGTTAGGGCTGCATAAACAAAGACAAAAGTAATTTAACTCCTAGATTGCAGAGAATTGAGCAGTGAGACTTGGGACTTATGACATACACAAAAACAGCTCCATTAAGCTAAAGTTGTTTGGGGACTATAGGATCCCTTTAATGTCTGATTTACAGTGTTCTAAAGAGCAGCAGGTGACTGTGATAGCAACAGGTTATGTTAAATATTATGCTATAGGCATCCTTTCACTCTCTGACAGGGAGACTATTCCTTCAAGATCAGGCTTAAATAAATAACTTATTATAGACATCTGTCTATAGTATTTTGTATGTGAAAAAACACTTGCAGACTGATCAATGCACACAATTAATAAGGGATGGGAGGGAATAAACTGAACTAAGCTGTGTTTAAACGAATGTTCACAAATAGACTCAGCATCCATCTTCACGATTTGGGACTTCCTAGCAGGCTCTTCCATAGACCTCTACTTTGTACCATTAATGTGGGCTCCTGGCAGATAAAATCTTTGCAATGAACACAGGTACCAGCAAAAATGGCTAGCAAAGCCCAAGCCTCTGAACATGCAATATTGTTCTGGAATGAATATAAGTTATGCTCCTGACCTTCAATCTGACCTGCTTGCTGCTGGGCACCTGGATAAGGTTGTTGCTGAGGCTGGACCCCAGGAGGATGGGCAGAAGATGAAGAGGCAATGCTATCAGGTGTACTGGAACGTTCCTCAACAGGAGCACTGGGAGGCCCTAAGAAGACATCAGAAGTAAACATCATACATTTATACATAGAGAGAGAGATAGATAGGATGAAAACACCCATAATCTGACTAGCATGTCAGTAAAAATAAAAAATGCTTATTAAACAATAAGACCAATGATACGCTAGAAATGCCACAAAATGCAAATAGCACAAACTAAATCTTCTGTAATTAAATTACACAATTTACACACACCCACATGCTTTCACTGCCCTAAGATTCTCTCCTTCCATTTCTGTTTCTATGCTGATTTGGGGAGGAGGCAAAAATATTTTGAAAGTGATTCATAGAGATAATGAATAGAAAATGCATAGCAACTATATTTCTTAAAAATTAGTATGTGGGTGCTATTTGAGAAAGATCTTGATATGGGAACAGCTTAAGCAGAGAAAAAGTACAGTGAACTGCCTTATAGTGATGTCATTCTCTGCATTTCCACACTTACCGGTAACTTGGTCCTCAGAAAGTCCAAAAGCCGACATGACATTTTTATTGATTTCATCTGGGTTCTTCAGCGGATCAAAAGCAGACATACTAGCAGCCATGACTTGGGTAGATGGCTTAATGGAGGAGTCATGAGCTGCAGGTTTCTCTTCTCTATCTACCGCATCTGTTTTAGACAACAAGCAAACATTTTATATTAGGCATCACATTAATGACAAAACAGTTTCCATGGTTTGCAGGCCCAGAAAACATTTAACCTCACAATAGAATAAACACTGGGTAGAAGTGAACCTACCACTCTCGGGTAGGCTGGTGGGGATCCCAGGCTCAGCAGGTGGCTCTAAGCAATCCAGTAACCGATTAACCTTATTACGAAGTTCTATCAGCTCTCGGCGGAGGTACTTTACTTGGCTGGATTCTAGAGGCCTTGGTTGTCCGTTAACTGTGCACAGGAGATAAGGATTTAAAAGCAGTCATTAGTATCACTACTGAAATGATCATGACTGAATTTACATTGGGAAATATGATCACGCAGGATTTGCTAAATAAAAAAAAGGTTTTGAAATGTGCATTGAGGATTGAAAGTAAACTGAGAAGGAGTTAGCAGCAATATAACCGTTTTCTAATTTTTTAAGACTACAGACGTTCTAGGTAAGCAAAATGTATTTATTAAAAACATTAAGCTAATTATTTACAAATACCATCTACTATGGACTCTTACAGTGCATAAACAGTGAACAATCCTGCCCTAAATATCATTCAAAGCATCATCAGAAGAGGGAGGAGTTTGATTATACAAAAGGAATTCATGAACTATGATAAGTTTCCCTGGGGATGCCCAACAACTCTTGATAGATAGGGGAATGAAGGAAATACCTAGTCAGAAAAAAGTAAAAACTATTCAGAACTGAACTATGATGACAGATCATCACCACCCAAGGTATCACAGCATATTAATGTTACCACTGGCTCTGTAAAAATGCATTACTTTCAACAACAGATGCAACACCTAAAGGAACACTGTAGTGATAAAAAAAAAAAATACATACATACATATATATACACACACACACACACATAAATATATATATATATACACACACACACACACACACAAATCTGTATTCCCAATGCTACAGTCCTGATGCCCCTAATCAATTAGGTCGCCCTCCCTGCATTAAAAAAAAAAAAAAAAACTGCTCACCTTTTCTCAAGCAGCAAGTCTCACTCGGCACTGCCACAACATTCTCATTGGGTTACGCCATCCTGAAGACGTGCCTCTAAGATTACCAAGCCAATCCAGTGCTCCTCAAACAAGAGTACTGGGGCCCTTAAACGCATGCGTACTGCTTGCAGCCTAAATCCTGCCATAGAAAATCGTTGAATACAATGATTCTCTACAGCTGACAGTGATGGCACTGCACGATGTCACAGTATGTTAGGGTATGAGAACCAGGAAGAAAAAATAAACTGCTCTCATACCCAGAGGGCTTGGAGGCTTGGTTTGAAGCAGTGCTACAAAGCACACTAATTAGCGAACTAAAGGTTTTTAGGGGTAGGAGTGGAAGACAGAACTACAGGCATTATAACAACTTCAACAAGATACAGTTGTTAAAATTCTTAGTGTCCCTTTAATTCGACAAATATTTATCAAAACCTGATTTCCAACAAGAAGCTGTAGTATTGGCAAACCATTTTTCCAGTCTTAAAAGTGCTTGACATCAGGTAGAAATACGGATAATGAAATGTTAATAATTATGCTGTTTTCGTAAAAGGCATCTGGCAGATTTAATTAAACAACTATTTGCCAAAACCAAACAACTGTGATATGGAGCAGACAAGTACTGAGGCAATCAGAAAAAAATGCAGAACAGCTAACATAAAACCATGTTTTCAGACAGATAAATGTTAGCATGCATAACTGCAATCAAACTTATAAAATACACGAAAATATTAGTGTGTAAAAGCGCTTTAAATATATATAGATCTGAACAGTTCAGCTCTGAGCACACGTGTTATGTTAAAGGATCACAAACATATATAGTGATGTCCCGAACGGTTCGCCATGAACGGTTCGCCGCGGACTCATCATTGAGTAAACTTTGACCCTGTACCTCACAGTCAGCAGACACATTGCAGCCAATCAGCAGCAGACCCTCCCTCCTCCTGGACAGCTCACTAAGAATGCAGCTTCAAAATGGATGCTGTCCAGGAGGTGGGAAGGTCTGGGAGGGAGGGTCTGCTGCTGATTGGCTGGAATGTGTCTGCTGACTGTGAGGTACAGGGTCAAAGTTTACTCAATGATGAGTCCGTGGCGAACCGTTCTGGACATCACTATATATAGTATTCAGCCCATCATTTAGGTGACTTGACCCCTAAAAAAAAGCTTAAAACTCATCTTATTTCCAGCGCTGGCTCTGGCCCCTTTGTGACATCATTGAAATGGCAGGTGTTTAGTCAATTTTTGGGGTGTGGCCAAATGCCGTTTTGGCCAGTCAGGAATCAATGCATCTATGAGCAAAATTCAGCGTCTCCATGCAGAGCGTGGGGACGCTGAACGTCAAGGCTGCTTACTGTGCAGGCCTGAGCCAGGAAGCCCCTCCAGTGGCCATCTGAGGAGTGGCCACTTGGAGGTGTCCCTAGAGGCAATGTAAACACTGCCTTTTCTCTGCCTTACTCTCCTTACCATGAACCACACCATTAAAAAAAAAAAAGTGAAAAACCTATAAAATTGTGGGAGCACTATAGAAACAGGGTTATCTTAACCCCTTGTAAAAGTAGTTAATGAGTAGTCAGCATATGAGAAAAAACAAACAAAAACAATACAGTTGCAAGAAAAAATATGTGAACCCTTTGGAATGAAAATGGATTTCTGCACAAATTGGTCATAAAATGTGATCTGATCATCATCTGAGTCACAACAATAGACAATCACAGTCTGCTTAAACTAATAACACACAAAGAATGAAATGTTGCCATGTTTTTATTGAACACACCATGTAAACATTCACAGTGCAGGTGGAAAAAGTATGTGAACCCCTAGACTAATGACATCTCCAAGAGCTAATTGGAGTGAGATGTCAGCCAACTGGAGTACAATCAATGAGATGAGATTGGAGGTGTTGGTTACAGCTACCCTGCCCTATAAAAAAACACACCAGTTCTTGGTTTGCTTTTCACAGGAAGCATTGCCTGATGTGAATGATGCCTCGCACAAAAAAGAGCTCTCAGAAGATCTACGATTAAGAATTGTTGACTTGCATAAAGCTGGAAAGGGTTATAGAAGTATTTCCAAAAGCCTTGCTGTTCATCAGTCCACGGTAAGACAAATTGTCTATACATGGAGAAAGTTCAGCACTGCTGCTACTCTCCCTAGGAGTGGCCACCCTGTAAAGATGACTGCAAGAGCACAGCGCAGACTGCTCAATGAGATGATGAAGAATCCTAGAGTGTCAGCTAAAGACTTACAAAAGTCACTGGCAAATGCTAACATCCCTGTTAGCGAATCTACAATACGTAAAACACTAAACAAGAATGGATTTCATGGGAGGAGACCACAGAGGAAGCCACTGCTGTCCAAACAAAACATTGCTGCACGTTTACAGTTTGCACAAGAGCACCTGGATGTTCCACAGCAGTACTGACAAAATATTGTGTGGACAGATGAAACCAAAATTGAGTTGTTTGGAAGAAACACACAACACTATGTGTGGCGAAAAAAAGGCACAGCACACCAACAGCAAAACCTCATCCCAACTGTGAAGTATGGTGGTGGGGCATCATGGTTTGGGGATGCTTTGCTGAGTCAGGCCCTGGACGCATTTCTATCATCGAAGGAAAAATTAATTCCCAAGTTTATCAAGACATTTTGCAGGAGAACGTAAGGCCATCTGTCTACCAGCTGAAGCTCAACAGAAGATGGGTGTTGCAACAGGACAATGACCCAAAGCATAGAAGTAAATCAACAACAGAATGGCTTAAACAGAAGAAAATACGCCTTCTGAAGTGGCCCAGTCAGAGTCCTGACCTCAACCCGATTGAGATGCTGTGGCATGACCTCAAGAAAGCGATTCACACCAGACATCCTAAGAATATTGCTGAACTGAAACAGTTCTGTAAAGAGGAATGGTCAAGAATTACTCCTGACCGTTGTGCACGTCTGATCTGCAACTACAGGAAACATTTGGTTGAAATTATTGCTGCCAAAGGAGGTTCAACCAGTTATTAAATGCAAGGGTTCACATACTTCCACCTGCACTGTGAATGTTTACATGGTGTGTTCAATAAAAACATGGCAACATTTCATTCTTTGTGTGTTATTAGTTTAAGCAGACTGTGATTGTCTATTGTTGTGACTTAGATGATGATCAGATCACATTTTATGACCAATTTGTGCAGAAATCCATATCATTCCAAAGGGTTCACATACTTTTTCTTGCAACTGTATATGGCGCAGATGGGAAATACTCCTAGGTGAATAAAAAACAGGTTTCTGGGGACACTCACACGGAATGAAGCCTGAAAGCAATAAGGCTCACTATTGTCACAGTTATGTCTTTAAAGGTAGCGCCACACCTATTTTCATGCAGAGTTGTAACACTCAAGGAATAACAGTGATAGAATGATTACAATCTGTTTCAATTAAAAACATATACAGATGGAAAGTGTGTTGCTACCTTTAAGAGAATAACTACGAAAATAATGAGCCTTATTGCTTTCGGGGATGTCTTAGCAGCAGACTGTCTACGGAGGATCCTGTATTCTCTTGGGATCTTGTAGAAACCCTTGTTTTTACTCTTGCACATGCAAAATAATTAGTGTGTATAACAACAAGAGTAAAAAAGCTGTACCAATGTTTTCTCTCACAGATTTTCATTTTATGTGTTTTAAGGTGTCAAAAATGATTTTACAGTGTCCATTAACCTATGAATTTCTGTTAGGATAACAGTAATAGCCTGGGAACACTTCATGCTTATTTCTTGACGCTTAAAGGAACAGCAACTTCAAAAGGTAAAGACATTTTCACAACAAACTAAAATTTATAAAAACAGAAGCACAACTATTTGTATTGGAATTTCCATTAAATACAAGGCAGTTCTACCACAGTCAGCATTCAATATACATCCTATGGTTCACTGTGCATTCCCTATGATCATACAGGGCAGGGACTTATGGCAAAACAGACAACAGATAGGCTAAAGCAGGAATGTGGTATCAGCAAAGAGGGAGAACAGCCAACAAGATGTAAGAAGGTATGGATACAGCTATATTTCTCAGATTACAGATCTGGTAAATTTGAATATAAAATAATCTTATTTGAAGATCATCACCAACCAAAATAGTTTAGTAAAGGATAGAATTAATAAGAATGAAGAAGAGAATGTTCAGTTCTGTTTTATTTTAGGAGTTAACGGAGTGGCTTTACCATAGGAATGCGAGAAGGTTAACAGGATAAAAATGTATAGTACCAGAAAAGGCTGGACACGCCGCCAGGTAAAAATAAAGGAAAGGATCATTGTTAAAATATGCATGTACATTCAAGGATTTTGTAATATGTATAATGTCACTCGTCAAAAGAAAAAGCAGAAGTCTTCTCACATTACTTACCAAAAAGAGTTAGCTTGAGTATTCTACTGCACTGTATAGCAAATGATAGATCAGAGCTGTCAAAAATAGTTATGAGATCGCCATCTAAATCAAAAACACACACAAAGCCAATTAGATTTTGATTGCAGAAATGTGTAATGCAGCACAATCAAGGAGAAAGTGTCAGTGTTTTGATGAAACTCAACAATGCAACAATCTCTAGCTGCTAAACAATTCTAGAAAGCACAAATCATTACATATATTTTCATCTTAAATTTAGAAGCCTACATGTACAATAGATATTACAGTTATTGTAACAAATTACCCAAAGGTTTTGGCAAAGGAATCATTTACTTGAACCTTGTCGTTGCGCTCATTATAAACCTGTAAGCTAAGAATCTATCAATGGGTCAGAGAATGAACAACATTCTTACATTTAAATATTCTACAATTATCCTAGCGCATTAGATTTTTTTTTTTTTACACTTAAAGGGATATACATCACTTGAAAAAAAAATATTTAAACTGGCAAGTAAGCCCTTTTGAACATATATACAAACCAAAATAAACCAAGAAAAACTTCAAAAAGTATGTATTAAATGTTTATAAACATACTATAAACTTGGTCACACCTCTCAACTAGGGGAGTTTCTTCAGCATTCCCCCATCCTAGTTTAACTTACTCTGGCCATGCATGAGAAATTACGTGCATGACAGTGGATACAGTTATTCACTGTGCAGAGTAGTATGCGTCTGTGTACAGTTATTCACTGTGCAGAGCAGTGCATCAGTATATAGAGGGATTCTCAGTGCAGAGCAGTGAGTCAGTATACAGAGGGATTCTCTGTGCAGAGCAGTGAGTCAGTATACAGAGGGATTCTCTATGCAGAGCAGTGTGTTAATATACAGAGCGATTCTCTGTGCAGAGCAGTGAGTCAGTATACAGAGGGATTCTCTATGCAGAGCAGTGTGTTAATATACAGAAGGATTCTCTGTGCAGAGCTGTGAATCACTATACAGAGGGATTATCTGTGCAGAGCAGTGAGTTAGTATACAGAGGGATTCTCTGTGCAGAGCAGTGAGTTAGTATACAGAGGGATTCTCTGTGCAGAGCAGTGAGTTAGTATACAGAGGGATTATCTGTGCAGAGCAGTGTATCAGTATACAGAGGGATTATCTGTGCAGAGCAGTGTGTTAATATACAGAGGGATTATCTGTGCAGAGCAGTGAGTCAGTATACAGAGGGATTCACTGTGCAGAGCAGTTAATGTACGATAGGTACACTTCAAGTACCCAATTTTCTTCTGAATTATACATGTTCCTGAATTTATATATCAGTCCATTAAAGCCTGCAATTCCTCAGAAAATCAGTTTCAGTGTTACAGTTGTTAGCTAAATCAAGTACAACTGTGCTAGAAACACAAGATAATAGCACCACCTAGTGACAATATGTTTTCGTTTCATTTAGTAGTCAGGCTGCATGATGACGTGGCAAGACATTAACATCTGGCTAGAAAAGATTGTATACCAAAAAAAAAAATTGGGTGGTGAAAATGCAAAAGAGACGGGTAAACTGTAAAATATTGCCCAAATAACATTATAATCTGAACTTTGTGTTTTGTTTAGGAGGCATTACAACCATACCCCAAAGAAGAGGTGTCAATGTAAAAAAAAAAACACATAGAAACTCCGATCAGACTCTCACTGATCACAGCAAGTCCTGGCTGCTTGAGAGTAGGAGGAGTGTGATTGCAGTCATCATGCTCAGTTAATGCCAGATTTGTTTTTTACATTGTTGCTTTTTTTCCCCCCTTCAATTCTTTATTTTTCTTTGTGCATGAGGTAACAACATTTGACAATGCCACAGCAGCATATGTAAGCAATATTAGAACACAGCTTTTCCCATACATGGCATGTATGTAGCAGCACATTTTTATATGTAATTATAAACAAGCTATGTATACACGTCTATTTGTAGGTCTCAGCAGTTTAACGCTAAATAAAAATCTAAAGATGCTAGACGTGGTGAGTAGTATACTAGATATACTAAGTGAGTTGACGTTTAGAGTTAGGTAGATCACGAGTAGTCAGTTATGTGTTGTGTAGCCTACATATTAGTTATAAGAACTTTATATTGATGTACACACATTTGCTAGGGTAGAAGAGTTTAACAATCCACTGGTGTCTGCACTGCTCTGCCAAGGCTGAGGTGAGTAAAGCAAGGGCTTAAACATAGATAGGAAACATGAGTTGAATCATATAGCCAAATTAGTAGTCAGGTGAGGTGCACCTCTTATATTATGCTATGGTAAGTATGTTATATAGTTAGTGTCTTGTCGTCCGCTGGAGTATCAGATGTTCGGCAACTTGGTATCAGACAGTCGCCCTCTCATAAGTACTTCACCCAATTCCTTGACTGGGCACAGCTTGGAGGTTGCAGCTGAATCCATCAGGCTGGGCCCCGTAACAGCCCCTGCAGGGAGTACTCCGCTCTCTGTTTGTGATCCATGGAGCAGGGCAGTGGTCATAGGTGGCGGCACGTTGGGAGCGAGGTATGTTCACCCCCCAGCCCCAGGTCGGTAGAGAGGCCAACATCTTTGGTCCACAGACACGGTAACCCTTATGGGCTGAGTCCCTCCTGGGGTAGGAGTAGCAAGGGGTCCCGATGGTTTGCCGCCTTCCTCGGTGGTGGACCCTCCTTTTGTGTGGGATCGTTGCAGTGTCTGTGTGCGTTTTCTCTCGAGGGTAAGCTATCCCAGCCATTTTGTGGCAGTCTGCTGTGCCCAGGTTTTCTGTGACACAGAATATAAGCACTGGTTATCTGCAATTTGTGCGTAATGCGGACGATAATCTGTATCGCATCGACTCTGGAATAATATTGGTTGATTATTATTAATATGATTACAGAAATTGGTGCAGGTTTACTAAAACTGCAGTGACTTATGGCCATGTCACATGTGATCAGTGGAAAGGTGGCTGAGGAATAAGCCATGTAAAGGAGCCAATGAGATAAGAAAATGACATTCTTGTCTGAGAGAGAGCTGTCTGCAGCTACAGCTTATCGGTGAAAGTGAATCAGTTTTAGTACATTAAAGCAGATTTATGAAGTCAGAGCCTCTGAATTCTCTTTTTTTAATACCCCAAACATCCCAACTCTGTCACTCTATATGTATTCTTCTCATATCAAAATTTTTAAAAATATTGATCTTACAACAAGCATTCATCATCTACTCATGTGCATAAAAATAAAAAAAGTGCCAAAGTTGTACCCACAAAGAACATATCTGTACCTTCATCTTTATATTTGATGGTCACTTCATCATTAGTCAAGAGCTTTCCTCGGAAAACTCTCTGCATCATTAAGACCAGCTCATCATAGGTGATATCCTCATTGTGAATGGGAATCCTTCGTATGTCTTCTCCCAGCTGAGCTTTAATAATTAACTTGCCACTTAAGTCCAGTTGTCCATTCATGGTGAGCTCCGTGGAAATTTAGGCAGCTGCAATATTAAACAGAATAACACATTTGAAAAAAAAAAAATTAAATAAAAAGAGCTTAACACAAGTTTATTCCTCATAAGTAGTTGCGTAAGAATTTGTGGTTATACTATATAGTAACTACTGAAACCATAATATCTCTAAGCTATCAAACACCAAAATAACTAGTCAAAATAAGAAGGATGGGTCTTTACACTGGAAGTCAAGGCACCAGCCCAATGTTAGACAAGACAAAGACTGAAAACATATGGGAAACTACCTTGGCCAACTGCACAACTTGCTAACCAGGCTAAAGTGGCTAAGTCACAGACATCATATGCTTTAACATCGGAAATGTACCGTATTTACTCAAATCTAATGCGCACCTTTTTGGAAAATACAGTTTACAAAACTTCAATGCTCATTAGTTTGATGACGCATTACATTCGGGGCAAAATTCGAAATTTTCTGTTTTGGCGAATTCACACAGGCAAATTTCGTTCCTGAAAGAGGGCTTAAGAAAGACTAGGCTTAACATGTAACATTAAAATTGAAATCCCATCAATGTTACTATGGTATATAGCAATACACATTTTCATTGTATCAAAATGTTGTATACTAGTATCTTCTTGTATAAATATGCATTACATTGGCCAGTAAGAAAAAAATTTCAGCATCCAGGTTTAAAAAAAATTGAGGTGTGCGTTGGATTCAATGGTGCGTTAGAGTCACGTTAATATGGTATATATCCATCGAGAGAGAATATAGATATATATATATATATATATATATATATATATATATATATATAACCACACACCTCATACATATTAATATTGGTATTAATTTGTGCGTTATGCAAGCAGAATCCTTGTCATAATCCTTGTCAGGATAAATTATGATTAAAATTATGTTTACTTTTTCAGAACTGAGCCAACATCAGTTTCTGCCCTTTTATGAAGTATGGCATTTCCTTTCTCTCCTTATTCACTGCTTTTGCTACTTTGTTTGTGCTACAGCCTCCTTTGCAATAAGAATTGGCCTTGCATTGTATGTTAGGATGCTCTGCATTTTGGACTTTGCATAGCACATTTTAGGTTTTTATTCTCCGAAGGAATATTATTGATAATCAGACTCTCATGCTATATTTCAATTTGGCTTTATTTATTTTTTTCCTGTGCTTGAAAAAACAATTTTAAATTAAATAATTAACAGTAATTTATATATCCATAGGATCACTAAACACTTGATTAGCATTATCCGGCAATGACACCAACATGTAAAACAAGAGAATGTGTTTATATCAAGTGAGGGTTAGATGGTTTTCCATTCAGGTAACCTATATTATCACTTAACTTCACTGCTATGAGTAACGTGTTAATATGGAAAGTGCACTAGAGAATCAACCAGCATTATATAACCGTTTAATAGCTTAGGGTTGGACAGTATTTAACTTCACTGTTCATTGCTTAAGACTAAATATTGGCCATCTCCACTATAGACAAACAACGATGATTCAAAGTTAAACAATTATGTTCCACAGTCACAGTGAAGGCACAGAGCAAATAAGCTAAAATGTCCTAAATGTACAGTTTTCAGAGTCATTAAATGGATTCTATAGTGCCAGGAAAACAAACCTGTTTTCCTGGCACTATAGGCTCCTGCGGTGCTAAAGGGGTTAAAATCCCTTCAGTGACTTACTTAAATCCAGTGCCGATGTCCCTCGGTGCTGCGTCAGGATCCACCCACACAACCATTACCACTGTAGAGATAAGAGACACTGCACCCAGACCACTTCAATGAGCTTCAATGAAAAATATCATGCTGGCACTTTTATGAAAGATAAATGCGCGCACACACACAAAATGTGTAAACAAACAATTTCACCCCAAAGTTGTGTATATGGAGCCAGTCAGCTTGGCCCTCTTTGGCATATGGATGCCTCAGACTGGGCGACAGTGACAGGAGAGAGTCACCTGATGCTTTCAACCTATCCTTACCATTGAGAAAACAGAGAAAGATATGTATCCACCCCTCCATGTCGCCATTCTACATTAGTTCCCAGCATACCACGCATTCTGGCGAAGGACACATTCTATGCACAGAATTCACATTAGCAGTCCGCAACGCTTATTCCAGCTTGCTAAAGATGCTGCTAGTGGTGGGATTACAGGAGAAAAAAAAATCTCTGAAGGTGCAGCATTTCATATTGAATTGAACAGAGAGAGCAGTGTGAATACTTCAAATCACTAAAGTGGTCATAGTGCTTGGAGTAACCCTTTAAAAGCTGCAATCTAGTGATTTTGATATAAACAGTCACTTTTGTAAACAGTCATGCAAGTGTTTATTAAATTTTAACCTATACTTCCCACACCGTGCCTCCATTTTGGCATATTTGGATCGATACATGCGTTGAAAAGATTTTCTCTTAACGACAAACTTAAGTATTTTCATACAAAAAAAAAATAAAATACAAACTTTTTAATTTTGCAATAAACTAGGAAATAATTATTTCTTGATACGGGAATGGTAGTCAGATTTCTCCTTTGATGAAGAAGCGATTACCTCAAATATTAAAAATTATATCCATGAATATTGTGTTTTTGCAAATATTCATCCAGCAGCCTTCTAAACATCTGTATAGACTGATAAAACCACCCTTTTCGTGAAGAGGGTTCCACATCCTTATTGATATGTGTTTTTAAAAAAAATTTCAACTAACTCTCCTTGCTTCCAGTCTAAATGTGTGATCTTATGTTCTATTTATAGTCCTGTTTTTTGAACAGCTCTTAAATAGCAATGGTGCTTGGGTGTCTGTGTTTGCCCTGTTTCTCTATGAAATGCTGCACAAATCTAGTTTGACCCTTTGCTGCCAGAGGTGTGACTCCACCACAGACTTCCAATCTGTTAAATATTGTATTATTTTTTTTTTTAATTATTTATAAACACACGTAACAAGATTATTTTTAATGTGTACAAAACCCCATATTGTGTTCAACAACATCTTATGTGCACAACAGTAACCATGATGTAAGCCTTATTTATTATCCTGAGAAGCTAAAGTCATATAAAAGCTCTTGTTAGTTTGACTGTTCAAACTCTTAATTGCAAAGGTAGACGCCATGAGGACTTTCAAGTGACATACACTGATCAGCCACAACATTAAAACTACCTGCCTAATATTGTGTAGGTCACCCCCGTCCTGCCAAAACAGCTCTGATGCATCAAGGCATGACCTCCACAAGATCAGTGAACATTTCCTGTGGCATCTTGCATCAAGACATTAGCAGCAGATCCTTTAGGTCCTATAAGTTGCAATGTGAGGCAGCCTTGGATTCATCCCACAGATGCTGAATCGGATTTTATTAAAGGACACCGAGGCTCATATTAGGCTTTATCTCTTTCTTTATTCCTCAGCAGCAAAGAAAGGATATTGAAATATTCTAAGGAAAAAAAAAAAAAGCATCCACGTTCTTCAGAGTGGTACCCTTTGGATCACATGGCTAAGTACATTGCCGCACATGTAAGAAAACCACTTAGAAAGAGGCACAGAATAAGCTCAGGGCAGAATGCCCACGTCCCAATCTGCCTGATACTGCCTGTACCACGCCAGACGTTTATCCCCAAATAGCCAAATTTCTTGGCAAAACAGGATGGAAGGCCAAAAAAGGCCTGGATTTCTCACTATGAAGTTGCCAGGACAAAAACCTGGATGCTCTGGGACCATGTGCCAAGATTTTCGACATGGTCGAAATGGCATTGGCAGGAGGTGCCCCCGCTGACTTAATGGCCATTAGAGGCTGGATACAGAGAGCCGTGTGCCTATTGGGTAACGCTAATACAGCACTGGCCACGGAAAGACGCAAGTCTATTATGATGAAAAGAGACCCAAAACTAGTAAACCTTCCGATCTCAGAGCCAGGAGCGCAGGCAAAAGGGTTTTTATTCGGAGAAAACTTTGTGATAGAGTTAGGCACATACGTAGAGACGTTCACGGCACTCGATAAGGCGCAAGCCAACATGAAACGGGTGTTCTCTCAGAGTTTTTGGTGGAGCCGGCAGATATTGGGGCAGTCTGCCCGGCTGTTCCTCACGGGGATCATACCAGGGATCCCGAGGCTCTGTGCACCCCAGGTTCCAACCACCTGAACATAAGCCCGCTTCACGGTTCTTCCCTGTTCGTGGCAGACCTTGGCAACCACGTGGACACAGAGGCTCTTCCTATGGCCGATGGCCTTATGGTAAAATCAATTCATGTTTCTACTATACCTATGGTGGGGGGCAGATTGAAAAGATTTGCACGTTAACCTCAGATGTGTGGGTCCTTCATACGGTCATGGGATATTAACGCTTCCCCCGTCCTGCCAAAACACGAGGTCATATTATATTATGTTTATTTAGATAACGCCAACAAATTCTGCAGCGCTTTACAATGGGTGGACGAATAAACATGTAGTTGTAACCAGACAAGTTGGACACACAGGGTTGAGGGCCCTGCTCAATGAGCTTACATGCTAGAGGGAGTCGGGTAAAGTGACACAAAAGGTAAGGATAGTATTAGACTAATGACAGTTGCAAGATAGCAGCAGACGGTCTACCGAAGATCCTATATGCTCTTGGGATCTTATATGGACCCTTGTATTTATACTTGCACATTTAACAAATTTAACAGCCTCAGTTCCTACTTGTCCTGTAAGCAGGATGAACGGGAGCCTAAAGCACAAATGAGACCCCTTAAATGGGAAATTCTTTAAGCTTGGTTAATGGAACAGGAGGATTTCACCATATCCACAGAGATTTGAAACAAGCTAAAACGGTGGATTCATTTATATTTTCTAAATCTAGGACTTCCCCTAGCTTAAAATGACCACAGATGCTTCAATAACCTGCTGGGGCACTCACCTAAATACTGAATTTTGGCAAGGCAGATGGAACTAAAAGCGGTTCTGAAGGTTCTACTTTCTTTTGAGCAATGGATCACAGGAAAACCCGTTAAG